TCAACAGTAAAAGTACGTATATCGTAACTTAACATTATGGTTTGAAAGGTTGCTAATTAAACTTCGTGAGTTCAATTTATTATGATAGAAGATGAATTTTTAATTTTCTTTTTATACTTCCATAGAATGTTTCAACATGAAGTGTTCAAAAAGTAGATAATTTTACTAATTAATTAACATAATTGAAAGTAATCAGTTAAACAGGAAAAGCTTTAAACAAGGTTATGAATGAATTGGACTAACCATAGATCTAACCGTATGACTTGACCTTTCTAGTTATTAATGTTCAAAGTTTTTTTCCAGATAAAAGAAAATAGTTTCCATTTTAATACATTATAATAACGAGGAACTAATTGCGAACAACTAATAGCAATTATTAAATCCCATTAGGGGATTAATTTTTAGACGAAATTAGTAGATAATTTGGAAGTTTTATTTACAACAAATTTACACATCTATCCACATATCTATTAAGTTGTCATATGATTAGAAGTCCCATTTTATTTTATACAACAAAGTTAATGCAAATAAAATCAAATGGTATCCACTAGAAAATAATGGGGTAATGTTTCATCCCTGACGTTATACGTTATAAATAACTTTTTATGTTGAATTTGTTTTTAGTTTTATTCTTACTTACTTACTTACACCTGTTACCCCTCGCAGAGGAGCATAGACCGCCCACCGATACTCTCCATCCAACCCTATCTTAGTCAATACTTTCCAGTTCTTTCCAGTTTCTGTCCATTCTTTCTATGTCTGCTTTCAATTCCCAAAGCAGTGTGTTATTTGACCTTCCTCTTTTCCGTTTCCCTTCAGGATTCCAAGTTAAAGTTTGCCTTGTAATGCAGTTTGGTGATTTCCACAATTTATGTCCAATCCTTTTTCAACGTCTTCTCCTAATTTCCTCTTCCTATAGAAATTGGTCCCACAGTAGGAATGCGGCCCTTGCTTTGCCAAGCCTCACCTTTACGTCCGCATCGGATCCTCCTTGTTCATCGACCATGCTGTCCAGGTAAGTGAAAGATCCCACATCTTCTAGAGCTTCTGCATCAAATGTGATTGGGTTGTTGTTCTCCTTGTTATATTTGAGGGTGTCTCGTTTTCCTTTATGAATTGAGGTTTACTGATGAAGAGGCTGCTGCTACAATAGTTGTCTTCATCTGCGTTTGTTAGTGTGTATGAGATAGAAGGTTCAGGTGATCTGCGAAGTTCAAATCTTCTAATCAATTAGGCGCTATCCATTGCATTCCGTGCTTTCGCTCAGATGTGGAGGTCACCACAATCCAGTCGAACACCAAAAGAAAGAGGAAGACGGGGAATAGGGAGTCTTGTCTGACTCCAGTTCTCACTTGGAATGCATCTGTCAGCTGTCCTCCAAACACAACTTTGAAGTGTAGTCCGTCATATGAGTTTCGTATGATGGTGACGATCTCCTCAGCTACGTAATAGTATCGAAATAGTTCCCATAATGCTCTCCTTTCCACACTTTCAAACGCCTTCTCATAGTCAATGAAGTTGATGTGTAGTGACGAGTTCCACTCAACTGATTGTTCGACGATGATCCGTAGTGTCGCAATTCGGTCTGTGCACGACCGATCCTTACGAAATCCAGCTTGATGATCTCGAAGTTGGGTGTCTACTGCGCCTTTCATCCGGTTCGGCAACACTCTGTTAAAGACATTCCCTGGTAATGACAGTAGTGTAATGCCTCTGTAGTCTTCACATTTGCTCAGATCTCCTTTCTTTGAAATCTTGATGAGGTGTCCTTCCTCCTCCCAAATCTTCTTAAATAGAAGGTGAATCATGTTTGTAGTTCATTCGATGTCTGACTTCAGTGCTTCAGCTGGTATATTGTCGAATCCTGCTGCTTTACCTCTCTTGATTTATCTGATGGTTATTCTAATTTCTTCCGTCGTTGGTGCATTGACATCTATAGGAAGATTTGCGTGTGCTACTTCGATGTCAGGTGGATTAATTGGAGCCGGCAAGTTCAGGAGTTCTTTGGATTACTCTACTTATCTATTCCTCTTTTCTTGAATTTTCTTCTCGTGCAGCTTTTTCTGCCGTCATTGCTAATTCTTCCACGTATTTCTTCTTGTCAGCTCTAATGCTTTTCTTCACTTGCTTGTTTGCTTTTATGTATTCAGCTTGTGCTTGAACTTTCTCTGCTCGTGTTCGGCTGTTGTTAATTTCTATCTTCTTGTTCTTCCTTTCTTTGATCTTGTCCAGTGTTTCTGTAGAGATCCATTCCGTATGATGATGCTTCTTGAGGCCCAGAACCTCTTGATACGTTGAAGTCAATGTCTCTTTGATACCTTTCCAGTTATCCTCCATAGTAGTTTCTTCTTCTTTCAGGAGATCCCGTGAGGCATGGAACTTGTTGTTGAGAGCTATCTTGAATTCATTGAGTTTGTCAGTATCTTGAAGAAAGGCTGTATTGAACCTTTGTGATGATGTTCAACCAGTTGTCCAGTTCTTCTTTAGCTTCAGTTTTAAATTGTCCACAACTGGGTGGTGATCTGAATCTATGTCAGCTCCTCCCCTGGATCTCACATCTTCCATTGTCCTTCGGAATTTTTTATTGATGCAGATATGATCTGTCTGGTTCTCTGTGGTGTGGTCCGGTGAGATCCATGTAGCTTTGTGTGGGAATACTGTGCCTTCTATAACCAATTTGTTGAATGCACACAGACTTGCGAATCTCACCCAGTTCATGTCGTCCCATGATATCTTCATATCCGGTGTTTTCCATTCTAACCTTGGCGTTTAAAGCTCCCATCACGATGGCCAGGTCCTTTCCTGGGAAGTTTGCTATGACTGATTGCAGTCTCTCATAAAACTGATCTTTATTGTCGCCATTGCTATCATTGATGGGTGCATAATATTGGATGACATTCATTGTGATTCCCTGCTTCTTTGTTTTGAAGGATGTCTTGATGACCCTTGGTTCATGATATTCGCATTCCATAAGTGCTTTACGTGCTTCTGTGGACAGTATCAGAACAGCTCCCTTAATGTACGGATCATTTTCATCTACGTGACCGGAGTACAGCAGCATCTCTACCGTATCTAGCTTTTGCTGTTCAGCTCGGGTCCAATGGGTTTCACTGAATCCCATTACGGCCAAGTTGTATCTCTTCATCTTTGTTGATATTTGACTGGTTCTCACGGTCTCCCACACTGTCCGGATGTTCCATATGCCTATAAAATTTGTTGCTCTGGTTGTCAGAAAATGCAACAGACTGGTGACTTCCAAAGAATCTCGGTTTTTATCATGAGGCGTCATAATTCTTCCTTCAACTCTCAAGGCAGAGTTCTAATGGTTCGCTTTGTTTAATCTGGTTGGCGTTTATTGAGAAAAATTATTTCTATGAGATGTTGTTGACAACCACATGCACAACCCTCCTCCTTTACTCAGGCTTGAGACCAGGAGTAACTCTAGAAGAGCTACAGGTGGAGGATTTTAGTTTTATTCAGACGGCATTTATTATTCTGTAGAAATTCTTTGAAATCCAATTGGTAAAATTAATTATCATTAAGTTCACTTTACAAATTAAGTCTGTCTACCTTCACAAAATGCATGAATAATTACATAACTAATAGTTGGATCAACAATCTCTCAAATAAAGACAAATTAAATGAGTATTTTATTTCTGGATCATTTTCTGCATGTCAAATAAATGTAATTCTATATAATTTTAATAGTTGAATTCATGAGTTGATTTAAGATAGACCACCACTCAAAACCTACAAGCACTGAATGGCCGGTTCTTCCCATTCTCGGACTCTTCAGCGGTGTGCATCGACTATCCCACATGTAGGACTCGAAACTCGAAACTTCACTTCCGCGAACGCCTAACCTCTAGACCACAGGGCGGGCATCCAAAATGTTAATGTCTAATTTCAGTCGACTCATGATATTTCCCAGCCCTTCATCTACTGTCTGAGGTGGGTAGCAGTTTTCACTCGACACGGGTTGGACTTCACTGGTCACGGCTTCTTACTAGGACTCTAGAGAACCCATCTTAATGCTAGTCACTAGTGAGCACATGATTATTACCAGAAAAAGGATATGTGAATTTTGTAGCAATTCTAATAGTTGAATTTACTACTCAATCTGAGCTGGACCACAATTAAAAACCTGGAAGCTCTAGACGACTCACTGGTCCGTGGGTTAAGTGTTCTCACGAGTTACCGATGGTCATGGGTCCGAATTCCACGTATGGGATCGTTAATAAACACTGCTGAGGAGTCCCATAATAGAATGAAACGGTCGTCCAGTGCTTCTAGGTTTTCAGTAATGGTCAAGCTTAAATCGACTCATGAATTCAACTACTAAAATTACTACAATCTCCACAAATCTTCTTTCTGATAACTTTATATAACTTGATCGATGAATTGCCAATAGCAATAAAGTATTGGGAAAGCGAACTTTCGAAATTGTCCATATAATACAACACAGTGAAACTGTTAGGACCCGAGTTATACCCAGTAGATTAATTATTGTTTGATATGATGGGAAGAAAAGTAAATTTTCGATTGAATTACTCATTATGAATTTTATTTAATATTACATCCCTTTTGATTCAACATGAGGATCATTCAGTGTAATATTTGATTGTTCTCCCAGTATGATATTTTCTTCTGTATAATATGCGATATTCTTGTACTCACTTGACCTGAACTATGCCCAGTATGGGATTTGTTATAACTGAGTCTATGATTTAATTCTAATTATTAATCAAAATGGGTGTAAAATCAATATATAAACCAGTGTATTTTAGACTATTTTGATTCGTCGTTGTCATAGTGTTTGGGGCTAATAAATCTTCACTTATACCAGTCTTGCATTCTTACTTTCGCATCGTGGGAATCTCCATGGTCCCTTTTTCCGAGTATAAGTGATCAGCGACGACCAAATACAACAGAAACAAGTTAAATAATAGATGATTATACACTTTATAATGAACTAATATTCATTAATGAAAACTACTTACTTGACAATCAAAGCAATCAGTTTGTTCAATTAAATTATCCAAATAAACTACAAGTTCCATGTTTAATGCTGTGTTTGTTTTATTCGGATTAATTGTATATGTATAACAGTTATGAAATACACGATCTTGTGTTTTAGTCCAATAACCTGATTTTTCACAGGCTGTACCTCTTGTTACACTACCTGTTTTATATAAAATAAAACAACGTTTCACTATATCTTCTAATGTATGACCTAAATTATTTGCATCAACTAAATCAGGTAGATTAGCTAAATAGGTAGAAAAATCCCATAGCATAGTTAAATAACGTCGGTATTCCATTGGTACACTGATCATAAAACGTTTTAACATTTCAAAATACATATCTACTGGTAACACTCCAGCTTTTTTTAATTTTCTTATATCACGTGTAGAAAATGGACGTAGATTACATAATGTTACAGATGGAAATGGACGTGGTTGATCATATAATTTTTTAGGTTGATGAATTACATCAAATTCTAAATATTGACTAATAATAAATGTTAAACATGTGATACAACCAATAAAAAATGAAATTACAAAGATAAGCCATAAAAATCGACGCTTTGAATCTTTTGTACTAACAATTCTTGGAACACCACGTAATGAAGTTGTTTCACAAAATTGTCTAAATTGACGTTTAATTTGTGTTAATAAAGATGAATTATATTCATTTGGTAAAGGTGATAATGATGTAGAAGATAATTCATTTGAAATTTGATTCATTTCATGATTAGAATATTGATTTTTTAAATGTTTATTTTTCACTCGGTGATTATAATTTAATTTAGGCGCTTTATTATGTTTATGATTTATTTTTAATGATTGATTTTGATTGAAAAATGATAAATTTAATTCATCTTGTAAACTTGAATGTATACATTTAATAGTTGTTAAATCATTTACTTCATTGATTATATTTGGTTGTTTTACTTCTTGACATGGTGATTCAATCTCTTTAGTTTCATTATATTTATCCAAGTAACTTTCCATTTGTGTAGAAATCGTTTGTTTCATATCCATCAAATCATAATTCAATGTCTTCGTATAAAAAATATGAATAGTAGTTCAAGACATTGTTTTAAAGGATTATGAAAATATTCTTATTCGGATGTACACAAATTGATCATTTTACATGTCGTTCCACTTTTTAGACGGCATATACTTCTGAAAAAGTATAAGAATAGGTCATATAAATATATTTCATCTTTTATGAAATTTAATTAAGTAGGAAATATATATCAAAATTAAAGGTGAATTATATCATTAAGTGATGATATATGATACAAATTAGCAGCTATTGAATAGAATAAATCAGAATGAAGTAGTCAGTGTAGTGTTATTACAATGATTATACATATCTTACCAACTTATTAAATTGAAAAATTTGTGAAAATAACTGTGAATTAGTGTATCTGCCCATTTAATTTATACAAACACCTAAACTACATCAACTAATGATTTACTGACATGGTACAATTTAATTTAGAAGTAGGAAGTTTCTGTCTTTCTAGTATATGTCAATTAACAACTAATAAATTACTAATGTTATATTCACTGTTAGACAAGGTTATAAAACACATAAGTGCCACAGATAATCATTATAAACTCGAATTTGAAATGTAAGTTCATATGAACAATTCAATTTTGGTTGATCAGTTTGTCTAGTGAACTATAGGATAATTAGATAAATGTCTACTGTTACTTTACTAATATCAAAAAGCAAATCGTTCACTATAATATAAAATAGTTTTACTTCATTACTGACTGATAAGTACTGAAAAGAAAAACATTTGCTTAGGAATTCAAAATTAGGAGCTAGCTTAGTTGATAAATTTATGTGTTTTGTATTGCACTAGCTGTACTAACTAAGCAATCCTTTTCAGTAGGGGGTAAATTAATGTTTTATTACTTCAGCTAGTGTTTAACTGGTTTTGATTCGATCTACATATTAATCATGTTCTTCTGTTATGTACTTTTTAATTAAATCTAATTACAATCAAACGTGAAATACACATTTTTAGGATAAACACTGAATGAATGTATTTATTATTTCAGTTATTTCAATTTATTTCTACACTGTAATATAAATCTTTCAGCCTAATGTAAAGCTTGAAATTTCGTTATTCATGAAACTAATCACTGTGTAATAAGTCAAACTTATCAGTTGAAAATCCCGGATTAATAAATAATATATACACATATTTAATTGATTCAAGTTACCTTTAACACATTTATCGATCATGATCACTAAACTTTATAAATGTAGAATTATTTAGAGCAACATAAATATCTACAATGCGGAGCAGCTTCTTTTAACTCTTGTCTATGAATACTGTTTAGGTCAAATCACAGCATCTTCTAATGAACTTCAAATATATTTTGTATATAACAAAAGAAATAATACTAAACATACGAGACAGTTGATTATGTATTTTGGATAAAGGTAAATAATTTTTTTATTATATAAAGCTTTAATATATCCCACTATTTGAATTTTTCTACAATGGTCATATATTATGACCTAGTGACAAGAATATGGAATAATTAAAAAAAACTATATGTATGTAAATTAAGTAGAAATAAGAAGAAAAATGGGATGAAGTTAGAATCAATTCATGTCAATCATATAAATGTACATTCGTTTATATATTGATCAAAGTACAATTGTACTTATTCATATGGTTTTAAATTAACTAAATTTTATTGTATTCAGTTTCATGTGTATCTTCAAATGTATAATCATTATCTTTTTACAGTTTAATCGACTTTTATAGGTATCAGTATAAGGTTGTAAAGATTGTTGACTGTCATAGATATCGTTTAAAGATCCCCGTCATATTAAAAGACTAGTATTTGAACGAAGAATATTCTTTTCGATAAATTCTCATCAGGTTCTACAGTTATATATCCAAATTAATAATCCGAAAAAATAGCCAGGTTAAGGGCAAAATACATCGTAGATATGTTAGTTGTTTCAGAAAGCAAAATGTTTATTTTTAGTCTGAATCACAGTAACAACAACTAACATAAGTAGTAACATTTTGTTTATAGTATATCTAAAAAAAATAATAGTTTATGGAATGCATAAAATATATGATATTTACCAAAAATTGATCAACTCAATGAAGCTTTATCACTAAAAGCTTCGGTAAACATGTTTAGATAAAGTGAAAAGTAACTTAATTATTTAATGGCATGACATTTAAAGTGTTAATTACACTATCATGTAAATGCTTAACGAAAAATAACTTTTTTCAATTAACACGATTAATTGGGAAGCGATCATAAATACTAAGACATAACATTGATATATTCTAGTAGAAAATAGTTAGAGAATATATTCAATTCAATTTATCAGGTTGATGATAAAAATATGATAAGTTTTCATTTATTTTTGTAATTTCACTAGTTGAGATCATGAGCCACTTTTAGCTAGATCACCATGAAAAACCTAAAAGCACTAGATGGCTGTTTCATCCTAATGTGGGACTCCTCATCAGTGCGCATTCACTATCTCGTCTGGCGAGATTTGAACCCAGTACTTATCAGTCTGGAGCGCGAATGCTTAACCACTAGTTCATTGAGCCGGCATCCAACGGTGTTGATGTCTAAATTCAACTAATTTATGAAATTGTGTGACACATCCACCATTGTCATCAGTGAGTTCCTATCTCACAACAGACCCGCTTGAACTCCACTGGTCACTGCTTCTCACAATAGGACGAAACGGCCATCCAGTGCTCCCAGGTTTTCTATGGTGGTCTAGCTTTAATTGGCTTATGATCTGAACTGTTGAAATTACTGTAATATTCACAAAACCTCTTCTGATATTTACTTTTGTATTCATCAATGTATCTATTGAGAGATAGTAATGGATAGAATATAACGACTTTACTTTAGCTGTCAAGCTCCTTAAAAATATTAAATGCTTGGAATTATGTGTATGTTATACCTAGTTTACTGTCGGATGCAATCTGAATCGACACAAAAATATAGGAACTGTGAGTCCTCAAAGTCACCGATTCGAACAACTTTTTACATTTATTCTTTAGAAATAAATCCAGTCATAAAATGTTCAAAACTACCAAACATCTGGTAACTGCATATCAATCACATTTCTTTTTTACTGAGCTAGATAAATAAAAAGGATGAATTGAAAAGGTAAACATTATGTCATATAGTACTAAGTTGGCAAGAGAGATCGAATCGACTGATTACAAACTAGCACTCTATGATTGTTTGATCAAAGAAAGATATAGCAGTCGTGAGAAAGCTAGTGTATTCTTCAAATCGACACATTCTGAGAGGTGTCTAGTTTATATACCCTTCAGTCAAAGGTTAGTGTTCCTTGGTATGAAGAAACACAAGGAATTTCGAAGAAATCTAAACAAATGTTATGTAAAAGTTTATTTTCGTGCTGGTGATACAGTTAGGCCGGCATTAGTGAAAGCCTCGAACAGAATACCTCAAAAGGACTACCAGACGAAGCTTTGTATACATACAATCTAGATAAAAGAGAAGGAATGAAGTCAGGTACTTTATGATAGCCGTTTCTTGATAAAAAGCGCGGTAGCATTTATATAACATATAACATCACTCTAATAACAATGAATGTCTAACTGTTTAGTCAATTATATCGTTGAGATTTGGCTATAGTTGCTTTAAGTTAACATCAGAACTCATTATGCAACTAATCTTAAGTATCATATACTATGGAAAATCTAATTTACTCATATGTGCTTAAAGTTTTATTGGGAATAAAATGATCAGTTAGACAGTAGCCTTAATGAAAAGCTTTATTTATTGATTGCATTTAAACTACAATAGGACACACATATGCACACTTACTTATATACTCTTCATATATTACAAGTATTTCACTCCATAGCAACTCATATTGCCATCGAACACAAAACTGTCACCTGGTAATGATTGAACATGTTTCTATAAACTTATTTTAGACCTTATTTACTTTTGGTAATTTAAACTTTGATTATTTCCATGAAGATACTGAGACTAGTTTATCGAGTAATACTCTGGAGTTTTTCAATCACTGATATTATTTCAAATTCAATTTTTCATCCGATAACATCTACGTAATTGGCTTCCGATTTTGCCCAAGATGTTGGTTTAAATTACTTTGAAGAATGTTCATCTGAATGAATCAAACAATTACTGACAATGTGCTGATGAGCCCAGTTTATTTTTATCCGATGCTTTCAGAGTATTTTGAGACCAACATAGAATTTTTAAAATGACAAAAAGAAGTTAAAATAATCATTGGACAGAAATATCACTTTGTAATTATTACCAGGTGATCCTGTCATTTAAGTTTATTCGCACTATAAAAGATGTTATTCAAATTATTCTGATTAATTAATGGTTCCCAATAGTAATGAGTTGTAAATGATAATTGGTTTCATAAGATGATCAATTATGTGATCTTTTTATTGCTATATTTGATGAGCTAATATAAGATAAAGAGCTAAGATTATTTTTCAATGTACTGTTAACAACTACAAAATTTTAGTTTACAAACAAAAGATCTTGTATATGTCTATCTATAACTCAAAATTTTATGGAAATTCACAAAATGCTAAAGTATTCTATAGCTCTAAACTCATATGGGTAATTTGTTTCCTCAAACAGCTATTCTCGAAAAAAAGGAGAAGAAATCCAATTATTAAAACTCAATTATCTATAATATTAATGGTTAATATTTAGATATTGATTGTGTAGATAGATTTATCACGATAAAAAGATGGCAATATAAGGTATTTATAAATTCCATAATGGTTTATTTCGAAAAGTGATTTTAATTACATTTTTAGCGCCTTTCTGACTGAATTAAATTACTCGAATTCGTTTGATAAAAACTAAAGTATATAATTACTGTTATTATTGATAAGTATCTCTACTTATATTATGAATTATCCACATTAAAATATTGAGTTTTGTAATATAAAAAACATTGAAGACTATCAGAAATAGATTTTCAGGTACTAGTTTTTCAAGAAACTCAAATGTATTTATTCAAAACTTCGCCTGAAAACGTAGCACGATGAACCCATTTTTCATTATTACATATTTTTTCAGTAAACGTTATAGAAGGTTCCACAGACTGTGTATAAAAAAATTATAAAATGAAAATTATGTCGTTGGTGAA